AGGAGGCCAGTGTGGCTGAAACAGCATCAGCAAGAAAGACAGAGGCAGGAGAGGAGCTCAGAGAGGCAGTGGAGACCAGACTGGTGTTGGGCCTTGCGGACTGTGGATTTTTCTCCAGGAGAGGTGGGAAGACACTAGAGGGCCTTGGGCTGAGGAGTAACATTTTGGGTGACTGATGTCCTGCAGAATAACACTTGAGGAAATACAGTGCTAGGTTGGGGGATGTGGAGAAGCATAAAATGGGGTGTGGAGATGTGCTACCATGAGACAGTAGTGTTGATTCCCAGTGTCAAGCCTGCATACTGAATGATGTAGCGTACTGACGGGTTTTGTAAAACGTTAAGAAGTAGAAAATTCCAAATCACACTTTCCATTTCGTGAGAGTTGGTGCAGGTATTCAAGGTGATAAAGAATGAGTGTGAGATGTATTTTGCAGAGAAAACAGTCTCTTCTATAGTCTAGCCATCAGAGTATCTTTCTAGGCCTCATCTAACAATTCAATTATGCCTCTAGAGACAACTTGAAAGGCACTAAATGTGTCCACATGAATGCTCACTCGTGATCTTTCAAGCATCCTTGTGAGGTGGGCAGGGCGGTCATTATTTCCCTCCTCTGGCAAATAAGGACACGCAGCTGGAGAGGTTCTTACTCCGATTACATGGCTGGTTGGAGGGAGGGAGTGAGTCAAGGTTCTTGGTGCTGAATTCAGGTTCCTCCCACAACCTGATTCTATACCTCAGGTTAACAATTTATCAAGGCAGTCATCCCCAAATGAAGATGATTCAAATGCAAGGGGATATATATTCGAGTCAAAGAAGTCATTACTTTGGGCATAAAACTGAAGAGCCTCACTTTGCCCCAGCATTAGGAGATTTGTTCTGTGATTTAGTATCTCACCCTAGATGTTTTTTGTGTAATGTTCTACACAGTGGAAAAACGTGGCTTGTGAAAAGAGACACCATTTGTAGAAGTGATGGTACTACTTTTTCATTTAAAACCCAAGCACACGTGATGTAATCCAGGACCTTGGTCCATTTGTAAACTAGAAGGGAAGGTGAGAAGAAACTAAAAATCACTTACTAAATAAACATCGAGTACGGAGGCATTATCATCCTGCATTTCCAGAGCGTTTGGCTCAGAAGTCAAGTAGATGGTCCCCTCTTCCAAGGTAAATGTTGAACTGGAAGGTAACCCTTTACTGGAAAAAAAAAAATAATAATAATGATAACGAGCCCGTGACCTCCAGAAAAAAATTCAAGGACACCTCCAAAGTTGTGGCTAAATAGGCCAAGATGTGAAAGCTTTTGGGGATGAAAATAAATTGGGAGGAGTTTGAAGGAAATATGGTTAAGCCTGGAGATATGCTCACTTGAGTTTAATTTTTTTTTTTTAATCTTATCAGTAGTGAATTTCTGTTTTGGTGCATGAAACATTTCTTCACATTTATGAGAGGTGATCTGTGGTCCCACACCTTGTGAGGGAGAATTGCAGTGAATCTAGAGGCCCACTGGCCATCTTTGTGAATAGTTGGTTCTCACTGCTCATGTTCTACTCTCACAGTATTCATGCTTTGCTAGTTTAGAAAAGATAACCTTGTGCATCGTTAACATTGATGATTGCTTTCCATTGTTTTCTCTTTTTCATTTTTAGTAAGAAATATTCAGTTACATTCATGGTTCTCAAACTTCAGTGTGCATTAGAATCCCCTAGAGGGCTGATTAAAACCCAATTTCCTGGGTCCCACCTCCAGAGTTTCTGTCTGATTCAGTCAGTCTGAGGTAGAACCAATGAGTTTGCCTTTCTAAGGAGCTCCCAGATGATGCTTATGCTGCTGGTTCAAGGCCTACACTCTGAGTAACAATGAATTAAATAAGTACAGAGCACTGTATTATGTGCTTTGTGAGGATAGCCTAAATGCGCCTTAGAAACAACGATAAAAGCCAAAGGAATGTAATAACAAAAACAAGACAGTCATAATGAAGAGTCATTTATGAAAAGAAGCAACCTTGTTTTGTCATGATATAACTATAGTTAACTGTTTAAGTAATTGGTCCTTTTTCATATTTAAATTGGGAATTAATTTAAGGGCTCAGGAATGTACAATCTTTCCGTCACTGAAATAAAAGTTAGTTAGGTTTTTAACCTGTGGAAATTTGCCATGTGATGGTTTTGCAGAAACACAATATCCACAAATAATGGTGGAAGAGTGCGATATTGGTGTTAGACAAGCTGGGGGAAGGGGCTGGCCATTGGCCACATGAAACAAATTTGGCAGTGGGCTGTGGCTTTCCCAGGGCAGTAGGGCTGAGAGCAGGAGTTGAGAAGACTTCACTCTCTCACCTTCCTCTCACTTTTCCCTTTACCAGGTCTTGTCCCCCTCCTGAGATTAGCTCAGAGTTCACCCCTACCGAAAACCTCCATCTAAAGTCATCCTCTGAGTTTCTTGTCTGAGCCTCCTAGGTGAATGGGAGACGAGGACATTGTATTCCTCTGTCCTTCTCTAGTCTGGGAACCACACATAATTCCATTTCAGTACATATCTATTAATTGAAGATACACGAATAGATATCCTGACATTTTCAATATTAAAAGAAGTCAAAAGGATTTGTGTATCTTAGTAAATCAGGTTCTTTTATATCTTTTCCTGATCATAAAAGACAAGAGAAAATTGTGAAAATACAGAGTAGTTCTAGGAGGCCGTAGGGGGATCTTCCACAGGTCTTCCATTTGGTGATATTCGAGCATGTGGAAGTCAAGGGATTAAAGCTACTTCACTTTTGGCTTGATACATTTTCTCCTAAATTCTGGACGTGTTAAAAAAAAAAAGTCCTCTTGCTTTTCAAAAACACAAGATGGGTTATACAGTATGGGAAAGGGAGTCTGTTCCGATTGATTTTAAAGAGCAGGGTGAATGTGGCCTTTTCCCATTGAGCCGTTGACTTTATATTATAAACTACAAATTTCTTGGGTTAAGTAAACCATCAGTTTTCAAGGGACACTCTGAGAGGCACTATGTAGCAATAAACATTGCTCAGGTTATTTTTTGGATTGAAACAAGGATATAGTTATGGGCCTAATATGACTTTTGCCTTTCAACTGTTAAGATGCCATTCACTGCTCCTGTGGATAGAAAATGATTGTGCCTGGTGTTAAGCCTTATGAGAAAGATAAATTCTTTATTGACTTAAACAGCAAAACAAAAAAAACAAGGTGGCAGAAAATATGTAATTGTAGCATGCCTCTTGATTTTTATTTCTATTTTGAGGGGAGGTTTCATATTTTATAGGTAATTAAATATAATCTTAAAAATATTTAACTTATATTCATATAATTAAAAATTCTCTAATGGCATCTGTTATTTTGTAAACATATAATGTACTTGATGAGACTCACAACCAATTTTCCCCTTCTTGTCTGAGTTTTTAGTTATGATTTTTATTTCCCTCCTAAGACTAAGGGTATAACCAAGAATATTCTATAATTGCTTTTCTTTTTAAAATTATTTTAATGGCATTACATGTAGTATAAGATTTAGACAAAAAAGTAATTCTTCTTTCTCTGCTGTCCTCTTGTGATCCAGAGTTCACCTCCCTAGAAGTAAAGCCATTTTGCAAGTATTTTTCAATCTAATATTTATCTTTTATTTTTGGAAACTATGAGTAAGCTACTAGCATGTTTAAAACAAAATTAAAATAGAAAAAACCTCCTAGAGTGTTCTTCTGGATTTAACAGGTACATTAATGAATTATTTTAACTAAAATACAATATGATTACAGAAAAAATAAATACCCAATTTCCTCAGTAATATATGGTCAAAATTTGATAAAATGTTCACAGGCATATTTTAAAAAAATGTTATTTACACTGTTTTTCACATGCATTAGACTAGTTTCCTATCTTAGTAAGTAGAATATTCTGAACATTAAAATTGTGGGACAAAAATGAGACTAATAGGGACTTGTCTCAGATTATATAAAGAACTCTTATAACTCAACAACAAAAAGGTAAATAACTCACTTTAAAAATGAGCAAAGGATCTGAATAGACATTCCTCCATTGAAATACAAATGGCCAATAAGCAAGTGAAAAAATGCTCAATATCACTAGTCATCAGGGGAATGCAAATCAAAGCCACAGTGAGATAGCACTTCATACCCACTAGGATGGCTATAATAAAAAAGATAAGTGTTGGAGAGGATGTGGAGAAATTGGAGCCCTCCTATTTTGTGAATGGGAATGTAAAATGGTGCAGCTACTTTAGAAAACAGTTTTGTGGGTCCTCAAATCCATATGAGCCAACAATTCTCCAAGGTATATATCTGAGAAAAATGGATATATATATATATATCTACACAAAAACTTGTACATGAATTTTCACTGCAGCATTATTCATAATAGCCAAAAAATGGAAATAACTCAAATATCTACTTACTGATGAATAGACAAATAATTCACAATGAAATACTCAGCAACACAAAATAACGAAGTACTGACATAAGCAACAACATGAGTGAACCTTAAAAACATGTTTAATGAAAGAAGCTGGTTATAAAGGGTCACATGTGATTTAATTTATGTGAAATGTACAGAATATGCAAATCTATACAGACAGAAAGCAGATTAGTGGTTCTTAGGGGCCAGGATAAGAGGGCAGTAGAGTGACTTAGGTATGGGGTTTCTTTTTTGGAGTGTTGAAAATGTTCTAAAATTAGATTCTGGTGATAGTTATACAACTCTTGGAATATACAAAAACCCATAAAACTGTATACTTTAAATGGATGAATTTTATGGTATGTGAGATATATCTCAAAATTTAAAAAAGGTGTCATGAGGCACCTAAGGGTCATGATTTTAAACTTGATCTCTCAGCACATGGTATTAGAAGAACCAGAAGTTTGATGGAATATATCTCTTAGGTCACATATATTTTAGAGCTACCCGTTTTGAATAAAGACCTGATTTTTTGCCAGCCTTTCAGAAAACTTTCTTTTTCTTAATAGAGAAAAAAATTCCAGTCAGCCTTACAACGTGAGAGAGCTGGGCTCTGAGATTTCAAGCCCTGAGGTGAAGAGACTATGTGTGTAGCCCATGGAAGCCTGGGGAACCTTCTACAGTGTTGCAGGGCCAGCGCTGGTGCAGCACGGAACACAGGTAAGGGGACCTCCATCCAGGAGGGTGTTCGGCCTAGAGGTTGCAAACAGTTGGCCCACAGACCCAGTGTGACTGGGAAAGTGTGTTTTGGATCCAAAAAGACTTTTTCAGTTTGGATTATTGCTAATTTTAGAAACAGGAAATTCCCACAAAAGCCCGGTTTTCCACCACTTCTTATGAGAAACCAGAACAGCTGGCAACTCAAAGCCCACATTTCTGAGCAGCAGTGAGGTTGTGGCTGCCTCCTTTAGACTGGGCGTGTCCTCTCCAGTTCTCCAATTCTCTTCTCCAGTTCTCTTCTGCATCATACTAGGCCTTTCTACTTATTTGTATCATCTCTGTCTGGCCCCTTCTACTTCACAGATAAGGAAACTGAGACCCAGGGAGGCACAGTGGCTCACCAAGGTCACACTGTGATTAAATAGAGTTAAGACCTGAACTTTGTTTTCCCATTAAACACCTTTTCTATGATCATCTCTACTTGAGATTTGCCAAAAGCAAGGGTAGCTAAGGCGAATATGCTAGGAACCTCAAAATAATCATATAAACCAGCAAAAACAAGTGCAGTAGATGATGCATGATGTGAGCTGCAGTGATCCTTGTTCTCTAGAGAAGAGTAATAATGGACTGGAAGGTTTGAGGAAAAATAAGTAGGCAAACATGCTTTACAAAGCTGCATTTTTTTTGTTGTAAACTAGGTGCTCCATAAACAAATATGAAAGTCAATGATCAGTTTGAAATATTGCATATTGTTTATTGTTTTGTACTTAAAAATACATATTTCAGTATAAATTCTTTTTAAAAATTAAATTTACTGGGGTGACATTGGTTAATAACATTATATAAGTTTCAGGTATACTGTTTTATACTATATCATCTATATATTGCATTGTGTGCTCACCACCCAAAGTTGTCTCCCTCCATCACCATATATTTGACCCCCTTTAGCCTTTTTATTTCCCCCTCACTCTCCTTCCCCTCTGATAACTACCCTTCTGTGTATAAGTTTGCTTGTTTGTTCATTTATTGCTTTGTTTTATATCCCACATATGAGTGAAATCATATATTCTTGTCCTTTTCCATCTGATTTATTTCACTTAGCACTATACTCTCAAGATCCATCCATGTTGTTGCAAATGGCAGTATTTCATATTTTATGGTTGAGTAGTATTCTGTTGTATATAGGTACTACATCTTTATCCAATCATCCACTGAAGGACACGCTGATTGTTTCCATGTCCTTGCTATTGTGAATAATGCTGCAGTGGACATAGGGGTACATGTATCTTTACGAATAAGTGTTTTCGAATTTTGGGGGGTAGGTACCCAGAAGAGGGATTGATGGGGTCATATGGTAGCTCTAGTTTTAATTTCTTTTGAGGAACCTTCATACTGTTTTCCATAGAGGCTGCACCGATTTTGCTACCGGCAGTGTACAAGGCTTCGCTTTTCTTCACGTCCTCACCAACACTTGCTATTTCTTGTCTTGCAATAATAGCCATTCTTCCAGGTGTGAGGTAGTGTCTTATTGTGGTTTGGTTTGCATTTCCCTTATAGCTTGTGACTGTGAGCATCTTTTCAAATATCTATTGGTCATCTGTATGTCTTCTTGGGGAAAGTGTTTAAATCCTCTGACCATTTTTTAAATTGGATTTTTGGGTTTATTTTTGTTGAGTTGCATGAGTTCTTTATGTATTTTGGATAATAGCCCCCTTTTGGAGGTATTGTTTGCAAATATCTTCCCCTATTTAGTTGGCTGCCTTTTTGTTTTGTTGACGGTTTCTTTTGCTGTGCAGAAGCTTTTTAGTTTGATGTGGTCCCATTCATTTATTTTTACTTTCACTTCCCTTGTCTTTGGGGTCAAGTTCATAAAAACCTCTTCAAGACCAAGGTCCTTCAGTTTAGTAACTATGTTTTCTTCTATGTATTTTATTGTTTTAGGTCTTATATCCAAGTCTTTAATCCATTTTGAGTATGGTATGAGATAGCTGTCTAATTTCATTCTTTTGCATGTGGCTTTCCTATTTTCCCAACACCATTTATTGAAGAGGCTTTCCTTTCTTCCTTATGTTTTTGGCTCCTCTGTCAAAAATTAGTTGCCCATATATGTGTAGGTTTGTTTCTGGGCTCTCAGTTCTGTTCCACTGGTTTGTGTATCTCTTTTTCTGTGAATGCCATATTGTTTTGATTATTGTAGTTTTGTGGTATAATTTGAAGTCAGGGAGTATGATAACTCAGGAAAGCAACATATTCGTGTTCCTCAAAAAATAAAAAATAGAATTACCATATGATCCAGCAATTTCTGGTATATATCCAAAAGAACTGAAAGCAGACTCTCAGATATTTGTGCACTTAGTGTTACGGACAGAACTGTGTCTCTCCCCTGACCCCCAATTCATTTACTTAAATCCTAACTTCTAGTACTTCTGAGTGTGTCCGTATTTGGAGATACAGTCTTTAAAGAGGTAGTTAAAGTTAAATGAGATAATATGACAGGTGTTCTTATAAAAAGAAGAGATTAGGACATAAGCACACACACAGAAAAGACGGTATGAAAACAGGGAGATGATGGCTATCTATAAGCTAAGGAGAGAGGGCTCAGAAGAAACCAATTTTGGTGACACCCGATCTTGACTTCTAGCCTCTAGAACAGTGAGAAAATAAATTTCTGTTGTTTAGGCCACTTAGTCTGTGGTACTTTGTTATGGCAGCCCGAGCAGACTAAAATATGCATGTTCACAGCGGCATTATTCACAGTAGCCCATAAATGCAAGCAACCCAAGTGTCAATCAGCAGATGAATGATAAACGAAATGTAGTGTTACATACCATAGAATATTATTCAGCCTTAAAAAGGAAGCACATTCTGATACGTGTTATAACATGGATTAATCTTGGGACATTAAGTGAAAAAAGCCAGTCATAAAAAGACAAATATTGAATAATACTATTTATATGGAGGACCTAGAGCAGTCAAATTCAGAGACAGACAGTAGGAGAGTGGGTGTGGGGGGCTGGGGAATGGAGAATTGTTAATAGGTATAGACTTTGTTTCACAAGATGAAAAAAGTTCTGGTGATTGGCTGTACAACAATGTCAATGTACTTAATGAATAGTACACTTAAAAATAGCTAAGATAGTAAATTTTATGCTCTATGTATTTTACCACAATTTTAAAAAGCAACATTTAAGTTAGTGAATATCTAATATTTATCAAGAATAACACTATTCAAGCTAATAGTTTAATACTTAAAATGACATATATGAAAAAACTATAAAGTGTATAGCTTTATATATAATTAGGCTTTTAAAGTCCCATTAAGTATATTCTAAATAATCTGACTTATGACCATGTGTTAGCATTGAGTAAAAGTTACATAACCATTTTGTTAATCTCTATATTTGTTATCCTCATTATTCGGTATGTGCTGAGTAAGATCAGAGTACAGAACAGGCATATTACTTCCCTAAAAGTCTTAGATCGGGTACTGTCTACCACCTAAGAAAGAATATGTTTTAGGGAAACAGACACTTGAGCCATTAAAGCATGACAGCCAGAGCATGAACTCTGGAATCAGATAATTTAGCTTTAAATTCTGGATCTTCTACTTAGTTGTGTGATATTGGATGCATTTCTTAATTCTTCTGAGTTCTAGTTTCCTACATGTACAATGAGAATAATATCGAACATGGAGATTTATGGAGTGATTAGTGTATAGCAGAGATCAAGATAAACAAAAATCCCAGTCTCATGGAACTTACATAGTATTGAGGAAGACAATGAGATAAATACTTAAAATATATATTTACATTGGTCCAAGGTGGTAAGGAGCAAAACAAAGCACAGAGAGGAGTGAGTGAGTGAGGAGCTTAGGTCTTCTCCAAACAGCAAACTCTCCGTGTTCTGTCATCGGAGTTTGTGGGATCTCAGGCCTGACACTAGGAAGCACATATGTCCCCTACACTCCATGGGGTATATATCAAGCTCTCCAAAGTATCTCACTCAAGTCTCTTTAACTGGGCTGTGGGAGGCACCTCCCAACTCCCTGACTGGTCTCTATAAAGCTCACATTCTAATTGCCAACTCTTTTCTTGGTCTCCAACTTTTTTGAAAGACTGGAGGTGGGTGGTCAGCTAATAATTACAAAACTGGTTTTTGACCACTTCTTTTACAAGTTCTGTAATCTCACAGCTTGCTTTTGTTATGGGCCTTAGCCAAAACTGATAGTAAAAATATTTCATTTTAACATCATTGTTATTTTTAGCAGAGAGATTTAATTAGTAAAGGTTATAGACATTGAAAATAAAAGTGTATTTTTTGTTAATCAAGAAATGCTTCATGCAGGACATAAAGTATTATTTGGGTTAAGAACGTTCATACTTGTGTATGTATATGTCCAGTGCTACTTAAAAAATTAATGAAATTTAATTATAAATAGAATAGGGAGATGATGCAAGAATAAACTGTCCAACCCAAATAAATGCATCCAGAGCCTGCCTTGATGATGCCCCAAGCAATAAAGGTATGTTCCAAGAAAGATTTTCACTTAAATGTCTGTGCCACTGGTCAATTTCATGTTCATTTCTCTTCACTTCTGACTCTGGGCAATACTCTTGATTGCTGTATTCTTACTGTACTGTTGGTTTCCTGGGCACATGCCTATTTGGGATCAATTTCTACTTTCTCTGGCTGAGAGTTTCTAAGATCCCATTTTCAGAGTCACTGATAAGCAAGGACACCTCTCTTGGGAGGAAATGCCCTCAAAATCCAGCGGTCAAGCCAGAGGCCCCACCATTTTCAGCCTCATAGCTTGGGAAGATCCATTTCTAGAAGCAATGTTATGTGATTGGGTATAAGAGTCTGGCTGCCTGCCTGGGTTCTGCACTGTCAAGTTTTACCACAATTCCCTCAATTCAGACTGTCTGAGGGCTAATTGTACCTAATTTGCAACAAGGCACTCAGGGAACTTAATCTACCAGTTTTGTTCTTCCCTTGTAAAAGCAGAGGAGCTGTGAAGCCTCTTCAGCTGCTCTGTGCTCTGCTTGCACCGCAAGCTTGTCAGCACAGGTAAGAGGAACAGGAGGGAGAATCTCACGTCCTCCTAGCACCCTCTCTGGGAATAGATATTAACGGTTCTCTGATGCCACACAGGCCTCTCTGTCATTTATAAAAATGCTCCCTTCTGTTACAGCAACATTAGTTTGGCTTCACTGGAGAGCATTATTTTGGCTAGACTGCTGAAAACAGTCATCAATAATTTTATAGTCCAGAATAGTCTTTTTTTTGTTTGCAGACCTAATGAGTGTTTTATAGCTAATTCTCATAGGGGCATTTGCTCGGAGAACATACAGTACGACCCGTGGTTTTTGTCTTTTAAAAATCATCCTCCCTGCCTTATAAATCAAAGTAATAACATCGACATATATCACATGATACAGATGACTTATGAAATAAACGAACTCCTGTCCCCACTCCATTATCCCCTAGGGGCAGCTCCTTTTATGATTTTTCTTTTTAGCTTTTCCAGTGGTTCCCTTCACATCTTTTGCTAAATCAGGGAATAAAAGATAGTCTCAACCTAAGGCAGCATCTATTGATTCCACATGAAGGACATTGACCCTCTCCAACTCTGTGCTTCCTCCTGACATTTGCTATTTATATTTTATTTTATTACTGTGAATACTAAATAACTGTTTTTACTCCGTCAGCAATATTCTATATATCTTTTCCCACGTTACTTCATCTTTTTCTGTTAGATGCACTTAAAATTTTTTATCTCTGCTTTGTCATGGCTGGTATTAAATTTGATTTTGAAGTTATCACCCAAATTTCCCTGCTTTGTCCATGGATTGGCTCCAAAATTAGAAAATATATACAGTTTATTATTACAACTATGTAAATACTGTTAATGACTGGTCAACAGTGAGTTAGGGTTACATTTCCCTCTCTGGGTTCAAAGTCATGATTACTAGGCCATGCAAAGTAAAATGTTTCAACATCAAGGGTAAATGGAGTCTTTTTTTAACTTTTGTTTAAATCCTGAACCCAGAGAGTATCTGGACTAAGAGTAGAGGTCTAGATACAAACACTGCTTCTCCAATTATTAGTTTTAACAATAGGCAAGTCATGAAACTGAGATCATGGTTTCTCATTTGTAAATGAGAATGACAGTCCCTGCCCACCTCACGGGGCGCCATCAAGGGAACCAAGTCAGATAATGCAAGTGAAAGAAAGGCCAACAGAGGGTAATGCTCTTCTGTATAAACAAAAGGAGTAGCACTGTGTCTTTTACTTCTGGGACTCTGCCTGTTTCCTCAGTGCGACAGAGGGGACTTTGATGAGGTTCTGGTTGTATAGATGGATTTATCACAAGATTTTGGAAAGAATTCCATTTCTGATCTTCTAAGTTTAGCTACCAGAACATTAACTAATATTAAATGTGGACAGGAAAACTCTACCTGCAGAGAAACCCACAAATACAGTCAGGTCTTACTTAAAGATTGCAAACACTTGTTCAGTCCTAGAGCCACCTCCCAACATGACTCAGGCATTTCAGATGTGAGAGTCAAGCCAGTGCCATGTGCCTCTCTTGGAAAAGCCCTCCTTTGGCTGGGGTGGGTCGAGGGGCAGTGGAGGCAGCTCTGGGGTGTGGAATTCTGTAGTACTGGCACTGGGGTTCCTATTTTCATCCTGGACAGTGTCAGGGTGCTGCAAATCTCATGCCCCAGCCAGCATGGAACATCTCCATGATGAACTCATTGCTGAGTGTACAGGCAAGTCTGCAAGACTCCCCAGCATGGACTCGGAGAAGTAGGAAACCCTTGGCCATGGTCACTGTGTCCAGACTGCTTCACCACCCACCTTCCTCACCCACCCTGCCAAACAGGAGGCTTTCAGAGGGATCTGTTTCTGTCTCTTTGTCTTTTCAGTCACGAGCATGGCTACTGATCTTCTATACTCTCCCACTTTTGCTAATTTTAGACTAGGAGGCTTTCTGTTTCAAAATAAGGCAAGCAGAACACAGGCTCTCCCTCTGGTATTGACTGATGGCTGCCACGTGGATCTAGTGCTTGGGTTTAACAGTGTACTGCCAGGTCTATTTGTGAAATTGGGTCCTAAGACTGAAACCAGACCCTAATAGTTTTTTTCCTAGTTTTAAGTGTCTTTCAGGAAATAACAGGCCTCCTCACAGAACCCCAGAGACCACCAAGCCGTATCAGACTGGTCTTAGATGCTTGAGCAGGCAGTTAGCAGCTAAATAACCCTAAGCTGACCTAGAGAGCACAGCGGAACCAAAATTCATAGAACTCAAGTAACAGAGGTGCTACTTTTCCCACCCAGAGCCCGTTAAGAACTGAGAGGTCCATTAATAAGGAAGATCTGGTGCAGGGACCATATCTGATCAAACTCAGGCTGGAATTTCTTTGTTCTGTCTCGTTCCTCCCACATCCCTAACCTTAGATGGCTTAGTTCCAAGACTATCCAATCTGACTCTCTGAATTAGAATTAATATGTATAACCTCTTCTTACTCTCACTGTTAAAACTGACCCCAGGCCTTTGTTCAGGGAGACTAATTTGAGCCTCATCTCTGGTATCCTTGTTTGGCTAGCCTGACGAATCTTTTCTTTGCAAAAACCTACTGCCTCAGACTTTTGGCTTCTCTGTAAGACATGGGCTTTGAACTCACTACCTTTGTTCTGTAACATTAGTTCTGAGGACAGGAAGTCATGGTTGCTCAGAGACTGGGCAGCAACTGAGTTCCCACCAGCAGCTTCAGAACTAAGCAAAGAAATGTGGTAAGGGCCCTCCCTTTTAGGAGACTGTATGTGTTTGGGTGGTGCCTGGAGGGAGAAACTTTTTAAAAAAAGAATCCTCGTTCATATTCAGGGAACTTTTTCACTGTATATCTCTATGCAATTTACTTTTCTTTCCAATACCCACACACATTTAAAGCTAGCAATAGTCATTGACTGTGATGATTGTATTATAGATGTTATTTCATTCAATCGTTAAAGATAACCCTGGTAGGTTGGGTTTCTTCCTGTTTATTTTGTATATGTGAGTATTAAGGCTAACTTGTCTAACCAAAGTTAATAGATGGTGCAGCATACACTGCCTCAAACTATCTGACCACTGCAGAGAATTAGCTCAGTGCTGTGTTTTTAAGATATTTCTAGCAGCAATGGCTCAATTATAAAAGAAAAAAGAAGACTTCAAGTCAGTATGGTGGAATAGGTAAATGCTATGCTTGCCTCCTCCCATGACCACATAAAAATGACAACTAAATTATAGAACAACCATCGCTGAGAAGCACTTGAAGAATAGCTGAACAGAAGTCTTATAACTAAGGATGTAAAGCAGCAGCCACGGTGAGACTGGTAGGAGCGACACAGAAGTGGAAAGGGCAGGTCCTACACCTATGGTGTGGCAATTAAGAATCGGGAGTGATATCTTGGCTGCAAAGTTCCCCCAAGAGGAGCGAGAGGTACCTGCCTCATGGCTGGCTGCCCAGCCTGGGGCACCAGTGTCTGTGTAAACCTATGGGGATTGCATCCTTTTGATGGTTTCCTTTACTGTGCAAAACTTTTTAGTTTGATTTAGTCTCATTTGTATATTTTTCCTTTTGTTTCCCTTGTCCAAGGAGATATATCCAAAAAAATATTACTAAGAGTGTACTGCCTATGTTTTCTTCTAGGAGTTTTATGATTTCAGAGGTGACAGCTCGAAGAGCACCAGGGACATACAAGTCCAGGAAGCCCAGAGAGTCCCAAACAAGATGAACTCAAAGAGGCCCACACCAAGACACATCATAATTAAAATGCCAAAAATCTTAAAAGCAGCAAGAAAAAAGCATCTAGTCACCTACAAGGGAGCTTCAATGAAACTGTCAGCTGATTTCGCAACAGAAACTTTGCAGGCTGAAGGGGATTGGCACAAAATATTCAAAGTGATGAAAAGCAAAGACTTACCAACTAAGATTATTCTACCCAGCAGGCTATCATTTAGAATCGAAGGAGAGATAAAGTTTCCCAGCAAGAAAAAGCTAAAATAGTTCATCAACACTAAATCAATGTTATAAGAAAAGTTAAAGGGACTTCTTTTAGAAAAGATAAAAAATATGGATAAGAAAATATAGGAATAAAGGCAAACACTCTGTAAAAGCAGTGGATCAATGAACTGAAAGCTAGTACAATAGTTAAAAGGCAAAAGTAAGATCATGTGTAATTGCAATACTAAATCAAGCAATATACACAAACAGAGAAGTAAAAAAGTGACAAAAACATAAAACATGGAGGGCATGAGTAAAAATTGAAGTGATTTTAGAATGTGTTCAAACTTAAACAACCATCAACTTAAAATAGATGGCTATAAATGGGTTTTACATCCAGAATGCTAGCCTGAATCAACATCTGCAAATTAATTAATATGATATGCCACATAACAAAATGATTAAAAATCATATTGACAGATGCAGAAAAAGCATTTGACCAAATTTGACATCCATTTACGGTAAAAACTCTCAGCAAAATGGGGATAGAGGGAACACACCTCAACATAATAAAAGCCATATATGACAAACAGCTAACATTATAGTCAATGGTGAAAAACTAGAAGTTTTTTCTTTAAGATCAGGAACAACACAATGATGTCCACTTTCACCATTTTTATTCCACATAGTACTGGAAGTCCTAGCCACGTAATCAGACAAAAATAAAAGGTACCAGAATTGGAAAGGAAGAAGTGAAATTGTCATTATTTGCAGATGAGATGATACTATATGCAGAGAGCCATAAAGATTCCACCAAAAAACTATTAGAACTCATAAATGTATTCGGTAAAGTAGCAGGATACAAAATGTTCAGAAATCAGTTGCATTTTTATACACCAATAACAAACTCAGAGAAATTAAGAAAACAATTCATTTATAATTACATCAAAAAGAATAAAATACCTAGGAATCAGTTTAACCAAGGAGGTAAAAGACTTGTACTTGGAAAACTGTTAGACGCTGAAGATACAAATAAATGGAAGGCTATACTATGCTCATGGATAGAAAGAATTAAGACGTTAAAATGTCTACTATTCAAAGCAATCTACAGATTCAATGCAGTCCCCATCAAAATACAAAACTTTTTTACATAACTAGAACAAATAATATTACAATTTATATGGAACAAAAATCCCCGAATAGCCAAAGCAATCTTAGAACAACAAAGTTGGAAGTATCAAGGCTATAGTAATCAAAACAGCACAGTACTGGCATAAAAACAGACACATAGATCAATGGAACAGAATAGAAAGCTCAGAAATAAACCCATGCCTATATGGTCAATTGATCTATGACAAAGGAGCCAAGGATATACAATGGGGTAATGGGGTAAACAGTCTCTTAAAAAATGGTGTTGAGAATACTGGACAGATACATGCAGAAGAATGAAACTAGGTCACTTTCTTACACCATATACAAGAACAAACTCAAAATGGATTAAAGACTTAAATGTAACCCCTGAAATCATAAAACTCCTAGAAGAAAACATAAGCAGTACACTCTTTGACATTACTCTTAGTAATCTTTTTTTGGATATTTCTCCTCGGACAAGGGAAACAAAAGGAAAAATATACAAATGGGACTAAATCAAACTAAAAAGTTTCGCACAGTGAAGGAAACCATCAACAAAATGAAAAGACAACCTATTGAATGGGAGAAGATATTCACCAATGATACATCTGATATGGGGATAATATCCAAATAAATAAGACACTCATGCAACCTAACCCCTCAAAATGCAACTATTTGCGAATAGGGTCATGGCAAATGTAATTAGTTAATATGAGGACATACTAAAGTAGGATGGGCTCTAATCTGGTGTCCTTATGAAAAAGGGAAATTTGAACAGACATGCACACAGGGAGAATGCTATGTGAAGATAAGGCAGAAATTGGGGTGATGCTTCTTCTATAAGTCAAGGAATGACAAAGATTGACAGCAAACCAGTGGAAGCTAGGCCGTGTGCATGGAACACATTCTTAGTCTAGTTGGCCCTGACAGCTCTCAGAAGGAAGCAACACTGCCAATATCTTGGACTTCTAGCCTCCAGAACTGTGAGACAATAAAGTTTCATGTTTAAGCCACTAGTGTGTGGTATTTTGTTTTGTGGCCCTAGCAAACTAATACAGGTAGTATAAATGCATAAAGGAAAACCTTGCCTTGTGGCTCACTAACTTTCCTTCCCTTTCCTTAGTCCATAATACCAGTAACCTTAACCTGCAGGAAATTTATATTTTGAGGTATCTGAAAAAAGTACCATTCCAATTCTTTGCTAAACACTACATTTTCTGTGATTAAAAAGTAGGGCCTTTCTTCAGTAAAATCCACCAAATATTTGTTGGGCTTTTACTATTTACCAGGAATCTTTAGGTAGTGTTTGTGCCTTAGCTTTCAGACTGCTCAGGTCCTCCTCATATTAATGTGCTAAAAATGCACAGGGCTGAAATGATCCCCCTCAGCATAAAAGACGCATCATTTAGTCAAGATCCAAATTACTATCAAATCTGCAGAAGCTGCTGAAAAAAATTATATGAGAAAATTTTACAAGGGAGCCTTGCTATCACAGATGTATATTGTAATTATAACTGTTCAGGGCTATTGGAAAACCATAAGCAGAATTGATTTTTAGTGTGCTTGCAAGCTTCAGAGAAATGCAGAATGACAAGAAGGTTTCTCATACATGGCTAGGACGCCAGACTAATCATGAGCTCTGACTTGAACAATTGGAAAATGTCACAGAAACTACTGGTCTCTGCTAGACAGGTGAACACCCTGTCCTGAGTCATTAGAAACATAAGCAGTTTATGGAGAAAGAAATCGAACAGAGCCCCTGTGTGCAAAGAATGGGAAGTACCTGGCTGAGATGATGTGGGAGGTGTACAGTATTGGCATCTCTGTGGAGAAGAACTGGGATTATTTTGGTTTTCAAATCATGGCTCAGCCGTAATAATCTCTGGCAGTGGCCCTTTTATATACCAAAACCTTTCCTATAAGTTAAAGAACAAAACTAGGCACTTGAGAATCAAAGGTCAGTACACACCCTGCTTGACTAAACTGGTTCTCAAAACTGAATGCATCGGAGTTGCCAACAGGCCGAGGAAATGGCATTTTTAACAACTTGCCATTTCTGAAGCAGGTGGTTCTAGAACCTATACTTTAAGAAATACTGGCTTACAGACAGAAAGAAAAATAGTGCATGGTCTCACTTATATGTGGAATCTAAAAAAGTCGAATACATAGGAGCAGAGAGTAGAGTGGTGGTTATGAGGGGCAGGGAAGTGGAGGAAATGGCAGATGTTGGTCAAAGGGTACAGTCTGTAACTGTTGTAGAATGAATAAGTCTAGAGAGCTGATATGTGGCATGATGAGTCCAGTTAACATTACTGTATTGATACTGAACATTTGCTGAAAGTAGATTTAGCTAGTTTACCATCATTCATGTAAAATAAGAACAGGAAATATAGTAAGTTCCAAATATATTTAGCCTGATAAAACTTTGATGAGTTGCCTATATACTATTTCTTATGTAACTTTTTTTAAACTAGTACTTTGGAGAAAATTGTCACAGAAATTTCAAAATTAATAGATCAGGTTGTCATAAACAAATAACTAAAATCTAAAAAGAAAAAAGAAGTATTGGCTTAGAAGAATCATAAGGCAGTGATGATATGTGCAGTCCAGAAATGATGCGGTATACTCCTATGAATGACCAGAATGATCCATCTTGGGAAGTGTGGCAAAGAATGAGGAGGAGGATGCTGGTCACTGCTGAAGGCCCTGCCTGTGCCTTAGGGTTTGGATCTGGCTCTGCTCTGCTCTGGTGCTGAGAGTGCCTGAAGGGCTGGCAGTCCAGCTCCACTGGCTGGGCCTGGCTGGGTGTAGGAGCTGTGAATACCACTGACTTGACTAGGGCCAGACACAGATCACACTTTATAAATTCTACCTTCCAGAAAGCACACTTAACTAATATAGTATTAGACACTTTGTAAAATACCTTAAAACATGGTACCCGTTATTTTACATTGTTCCTTTAGCTGACTTTTTATGTGTCCATGTGCTTAACAATCTGTAAATACAAATATTATGTTTAAAATCTGTCACTGAAACTTCATACCCTTTCCCATTTATTTTATGTACTCTTGAGAAGTCTAAATTAGCCATTTTTGGAGTCTGATTTTAAGCTCTAGTTATTTTGGATAATGCTTATCTTTCATGTGTGTGTCCAAATTCTATTTACATGAAATTTCTCAATGGTTATTAATAAAAATACTCTCAAAGTATTTACCATTTGTAGTCCTCCACAGCAATCTCTTAGATGAAGTTGTTATATTACATTTGAATTGATTTAGGAAGAGGCACTTGAAAGCTTTGAAACCTCCCCTTGTGGTTTCCCCTTCTAACCACTGTTATTTAGCTGTGACTCAGGCTTATTCTTTATCCATATATTAATAATAAAAATCACTTTCTTTATTTACCACAAGGTTTATGTGAATAATTTAGAGCAAGTGTCTACCATGCTCCTTGTCCTTGGAAGGTAGCTAATAACTGTCCTCTCTTCTGCTTGAGCTGGAGGTGCCTGAATTTAACTTCCTCATTGTTTCCTTGTCTCTGACAATATAAGATCATTTAGGAGGATTCAGTGAGGTGACTCCTATAAAGTCTGTCACTTGTATTCAATACATTTTAGCTGTTATTAGTATT